TTCTCGCTCTGGCTGACTCGCTTCCTATTTTTGTAGCCTGCACAATATACGTTTGGTTCAGTCGTCTCCAACTTTTATCTGGTCCCGTAGTTGACGTCTCTTTCGTGTCATCGATTACTGACTAGTATCGCAGGCGCCACTCAACAAGCTAAGGATTAAACGTTGGGGATGCAAAAATATGGAACCAATACATGTGACATACCATCCCAGCTTTTCTGATCCTCTAAATGAAGACATGAATTCACTGAATTCGTTTGAAATATTTATAGACAGCGGTATCATAGAAAATTTGGTTGCTCATAAAAACCTGTATTCTACACAAAAAACAAAGTCTATTAACACAACAGTGATTGGTATTCATATGTTATCTGGAGTTGTTCATATGTCGAAATGCAGAATGTACTAGACTGTTTCTACATGCTCCGAGCCTATCGCAAGTACCATGTCACGTGATCGGTTCTGCAAGCTGAGAAACTACTTGCATGTTAACAACAATGATAATATGTTTCCAAGAGAACATAATGGTTATGATAAGCTGTTCAAAATCAGAGCTTTTGTGGAATCATTGAGAAAAAGTTCTCTGAAAATGGAATCAGAGGAACATAATTCAGTGGATGAGATGATGATCCCACTCAAGTCCCACACTTCCATGCTACAATATGTGAAGAGCAAACCACACCGATGGGGTATCACACGGGCTGGATTGTCTATGACTTTGAAATTTATGTAGGCAAGGGGATAAATGTGAAAGACAATCCTTAAGGCATAAGTGGCAATGTTGTCCTTAGGCTAGTTGAAGAGTTGCATAAACACCAGAATCATAAGTCAAGTATTGACAATTGGTTCAGCTCATTTGATCTGGCTGTAGAAGTAAAGAAGTTGGGAATTCACATAGTGGGGACTGTTAGCAAGAACAGTTTGGCAGGCTGTGTTTTGAAGACAGATGCCTCACTGAAAAAGAGTGACAGTGGCTCCTATGATTTTAGAGTTGAAACCAATGAAAAAGTCATGCTGGTGAAATGGTCTGACAATAAGGCTGTGCACTTGATCGCCACCTATAACAATCATGAGCCCGTTAAAAATGTGAGAAGATGGTCTGTTGCTATCAAGTAGTTTATAAATATCCATAACCCATCTATTGTAAAAGAATACAAAACATTCCTGGGAGGCATTGATCTACACGACATACTTGTTCAGCTATATCGTGCTAACAGCAAAAGCCGTCGCTTTACTTCATAGATATGGCATGTGTGATTGCATGGCTATTGTATAGGAGACACTGTGATCAAAAGAAAGAAAAGCACCAACCACTAATTTCTTTTATATGTGGGACACAGCTGCTGCCCTTCTGAAAAGGAGAACGATTGAACCAAAGAAAAGAGGGCGAAAACCAGGCAGCCCAGTGGAAGGCCTACCAAAGAAAAGAGTAGAAAAAGCACCTCGTCTTGTTGCTGTTGTATGGTGCGAGGGCGTGGGTCACTGGCCAGAACATTCACCTGACAAATCAAGATGAAAACTGTGTATCCAAATTCACAGTAGAAGAAGTGTGGAAAATGCAATGTTTCACTCTGTTTGAGCAAGGAAAAGTGGTGCAAAGTTTTCTACTTACAGTGACATGAGATGCACTGTGAATTCACAACAAATTAATAAGCACTGTTTACTTTGCGCTTTCTGTTTGCATCGCGAAGTCCCAATTGGAATCATTTCATAATTCCTATAATTAAATATATTAATCGCAAAAACTGCACATTCTTGTTTTCTTCCACCGCAACACTTAATACGTTGAAAGAAAAATTTTTCCTTTACACAAAATAATTCAGGGATGAAAGGATTAAGAATCCACACGCGTAAAACCCAAGATAGATAACTACTACAACTTAAAACGGCAGCAGCTCCAGAACCTGCTATTCTCTAATAAGTTGGTTGTGATAGATATCCAATCTTAAGCTGACGTGAGCTGTGAGTTGAGTCACGGCTTGCAGATTGGATACACATTGAACAGCTAGTCGAACTTATATACAAGATGCGTCTGAAAAGTCCAGTGAATGGTTCAATGTGATAAAAACCGCGCTGATGAGAGGCCCGGGCATAAGTATTGAAAGACATGGCAACAAGTCACTCAATCGTGCAAATCACCGAAGTGAAACGGTGGTGCACGTTGCGACCAAGCTGACGGATTCAGTGTGAGAATTCGTGCCAGCATAATGGAGTACAAAATAGAGTGACGAGTTGACATAACGTTTTGCTTGGAAAAAGGCAAAACGGCGAACGAAACACGTGAAATGTTAGTACAAGCGTACGGTGTTGAAACAGTGAGTAAAAAGGCGTGTTTGAGTGGTTTAAAGGCTTTAGAGACGGAAAAGGTTCCGAGGATGAGCCGCGTTCGGGTCAACCACCAACAAGCGTAACCCCGGACAATATGGAACCCGTGAGATGGATGCTCACGGATGATCGGCAGGTGTCTTTGAGAATGATAGTAGATGAGTTAAGGGTAAGCAGATAGTGAGCAATATTGTCCATGAACAATTAAAATAGCGGAAGATTTGTGCCCAGCCTACACCGTACACACTGATAGATGAGTGGAAGCAAGTTCGGATGGAAACATCTGCAGACTTCATCGACGTCCAGCCGGAATGCGCAGTGATCAAGTTTCTTGCTCAACGCAACGTGGCTGCCGTTCATCAACGCCCTCCTGATTCTCCGGATTTGGTGCCGGCAGACTTTGGTTTAACAGTGGGTCCCCTTCAGCCATTTCGTCAGAGCAGTGAGAAGACATAAGTTGCGATATGTTAACATTTCGATTGTTCTCTTCAGTCGCAAACACAATACAAGCGGGACTAAGGAACAGTTATATACAGGGGGAAAAAGTTGGCACACCAATCAAAATGTAAAAATGTAATGTAAAATGTAATGTAATGTAAAAATGTAATGTTTACTTGTTCTTGCCGTTCAAAGGAGACCATGTATCGAATGATATCGGACATAAACTCCGGTCCGCCCTTACGCGCATCTACGCGACCGCTCAGTTGCGACTCATACATACAACACGAAGCCTTGTTCTTCATGACCGTCAGAGCAACTCATCAGTCAGTTCGGCCTCTCACGTCGTTTACCAGTTCACTTGCGGTTGCGGTGACATTTACATAGGCAGGACTGACCGTCAGTTAGCTCAGAGGGTAGCTGAACATGTACCGAGGTGGTTGGAGCAACTGATGACGCAACAAGACGGAGTGAATCCGAGGAGGAACAGGAGTCCCGCATCATCTATCACCAAGCATCTCTTGGCAACCCGACACCAGGTGAACCCGGATACTGCGTTCAAGGTGTTATTGCGCAACAACAATCCGATTATCTTGGCAATTAGCGAGGCTTTGCTAATTAGGGCTTATCAACCTGTGTTGTGTGCACAGAAACTATTGAGACATTCAATTAGGTTACCGTGGTCTTGATTTTTACATTTTGATTGGTGTGCCAACTTTTTCCCCCTGTATATAACTGTTCCTTAGTCCCGCTTGTATTGTGTTTGCGACTGAAGAAAACAATCGAAATGTTAACATATCGCAACTTATGTCTTCTCACTGCTCAGACTTTGGTTTCACCGCGCTAAACTAGCCCCGAAAAACTTACGCTTCACAGACGTTGTGGATTTATAACAACGCGTGACCACTCTGCCTCCAGCGATCCTACAAGAAGCACTTGCTGACAGTTTCCAACAGCTTTATAGTCGATGTCAAAAGTGTTGTAGCCAATAGTGATTACTTTAAAGGCCAGCAAAGGTATTTTCTCTGCAGCGCTTGTTTCCTTTATTTGCTGAGACTATTCACCGAACTTTGCAGACGCACCTTGTAACACAAAGAAAGCAAAATTCAAGATTAGTACTGAATGAAAGAACAACACAGTGGTCAGTATCAGAAAAATATTCGTGGTACGCAGCAATTAGGTCATATGAAACTGTTATAGACCACTTTCGTTAGACAAACCCAATGATGCTTGAATGGTGTCATTCGCACACGCTGAGCGGGCGATTACACAATTCGGATAGATGACGCCCTTGCAAAACCTATCTGGCGTATAGATGATGTACGGAAACTACGGCAGTTGAGTGACGCGACCACACGACCCTCCTGATGGCACTACAGACCAGAAAGGTGTTTAGCATGAGCGCTTTTACTGACCCAGAAAAAGGCAAAACAGGTCGGGACAAACTCTTATGGCATAATTGACTCACTACGCCCGGCAGGCGTTTCGGTGAGACGAAACTGCTTATGAAAAGCTATTACGTTGTGGTTTTGGCAGTCGCATAGTCCAACTGCGAGTGCCGCGCGACATAGCCCTTTGATTGCCATGCGAGTGTTGCAGCCTGTGCCGCAAGCGCGTATTTTGGCGGAATTACTTGAACCGCCCGTGAAAGAAACAGCTGTCATGACCGAGTGTGAACTGTACTGTCTGTCGTCTTCGGAAACAAATGGACTATCGGATAATCTAAAAACAATTGATCCACTAACGGAGCCCACACAATATAAAGTGTATAAGAGCAGGAATCTACAAAACAAATCGCCGGATCTACAGAATGACCTTGGATGGGGGCTTAAGTACACACAAGCACTACGGTCCTGACATCGGATAACTGTCACACATCACTGCTCGTTTCGTGCTACCAATGTTTTAAAGTAACACCTGGCCGGTACTAATGGCCAAATTGGTATCCAGTGAAACTGACCCAGTAGCTGGTTACGATCGCTGTAACCGATCCGTCTGTTTACATAATTCAGCAATTAAGACAAGAACTGTGCAGTGAAGCGTAAGCTAAGGACATCGGCCATCTCCTGCCCAGCTAGATCACGGTGAGACAGACGTTGTTTAACCGAGTTTAGTGGGACCCATAACGTGGAGAACGACCCAAGCGTATGAGTTGGAAGACAATTGGGCACTGGATGGACGAATCAAAGTAAGAACAAGCGGTGGGCTTTACACTGATAGTGAGGCTGAAGCCTCCATCCCCCGATAAAAATAAAGAGATGTGTGTAACGAGCATTGGTATACCAAACATGTGGGAGCAAGTTAATCTCATTTTAGTCGCATATCATCGTGGGTGGCTGTAGAACTGTAAAGGACCGAAAACTAATCATATCGCGGCATGCAAACGAGATGGGTTCGAACAAGCACCTCTAAGTATAAGCATGGCAATTATGTTACTCATATTTTAAATCAACGAACGTGAATCGATTAAAGTAATAGTTGTGTGAATAAACAAAGGAACGAACATGGTGTGTTGAAAAGAATACATCAAGACAATCACAGGTGCAGCAGGATGAACAAGGGAATCCGCGCTCGGGGGAAGGACTTGTGCAATGATACAAACGAGGAATGTACCATGGATAAAACAAGTTCCAGTGAGAAGAAAAAGACGTTATATGATTTTGAGCGTTCTTATTTTCGTACATTCAAGCGTTCTAGAAGGCGTTGCTTCCACAGATCTTCAGGGATCGCTGTTGCCCATGGAGGCACTCCGTTAGACGGTATAGAAAAGTTGGCCATACAATTTCGAATTTCATCAGCCTTGTCTGCAATTCAAAGAATAAAGATAAAACACATAAGCTTTGCTGGCGTCCAATTTACTAAACGGTGTTGGACGTTTTCGTAACAAGAATTGCATCTGGACCACAAGGGCTTACAGGAAAGTGATGCACATGGATCAAATGCTAAATTATCGCAACAATCATCCCACAATTCATAAGTGCAGTTGCATAAGAACCATTTTCAAAAGAGCAGCTAAAGATAACCCATTAAAAATGCTTACACAAGGTGCTTTGTTTTATGCTATTTGACGCCAAGAGAGCGACGACCACTGGGACAAACAACAAAAACAGATAAAAAGATTTTGCCATTTATTAACGGAATCTCTGGAATGCCTGCGGGACTCCTATTGCGTATAACCTCCTCGTGATATCAGCTGGGTGGTTCTGGATTATCCCGTTCCAGCGAATGGTTTGACGGCAGTGTTCCAGGATGTGGTGGGTTTTCGTCTGGCATGTGTTCTCCCTATACAAAGCTACATGTGTGGCGGATGTGATTTGCCCCTAAATAACTGCCCCTTACCTCTATCGGAGAGGCATTGTAATTCAAGGGTGTGTTGGACCCCTGGTCCTTTGTGGTCCTAAAGGAGTATGAACCACTTGTTTGGTCACCGGCTTCCAACAGGTTGTGATACTCTCATATCGCCCTGCGGCATTGTAGGTTAGCTCATGGATCAAATGTTTGGGGTGGGGCCCTCTAGGACAACCGTCTACTTCGATCTGGGTGACCGGGTAGCATCACGCCCTCTGACGAATCAGGAGTGGATTATGCTACTGCTTTCACTCTTGCTATGTCTACTGGCTATACTGTCTCCGTTGCTCAACATCCACTCACACATCGTACCACGTCTCGTTCCTTAATTACACCTATGGGTTCCCCGGTCACCGTCAATAACAGGTCACTGGTCGCATCTGACAGAGTTCTGAGCCAAACTTTGGTGCCCGCTGTCCGGCGGTCACAACATGCTCACTCCACCGAAGTCCAAGCTTTTCTTCGACCTGATTCTCCATTCGGCCTTGCAGATTTCAATGTGCGCACTCTGATGCAGATCGGATGACAAGCATGCCTGGCCCGCACCCTTGAGTCAATGGAGACAGGCTACTGACTCTTTGTTCTGAACATCGCTTGTTTCTTAGGAGCACCAGTTTTTGGCATTCAAAAAGACAGACTACTATATCGGGCCCGCCTTCTCAAAACCAAGAGTGGTCCCAACTTGACACCCATCTCTCCATCAAAGGGCGGGTTTCTAGTGCGACCGACCGCGCTGTACTGTTATACGGTTGTGAGACTTGACCTGCTCCTACCGATGACCTGCGCTGACTGTCTGTCTTCGAAAACCGTTGCTTTCGATCCCTCGCCCGTGTGTGGTGGCTACACCACGCAACCAACGTTGAAGGCAGACACCGTGTCTTGAGTGGAGGCAGCCACTCCATCGAGGCACTTGTCTCGTTGTGCCAACTACGATGGCTTGGACTTGTACTGCGTATGCCCATTCAGCGTCTTCCGCGTCGCGCTTTGTTCACGGTTGCTGGAGAGGGCTGGAGAAGGCGGTGCGGTGGATAGCCTACATCTTAGAGAAGCAGGATGAAATACCTGACAAAACAGCTGGCCTCGGTTGGCTCTTCTAGACTCCCTGGACGGGGTCCCCAAAGATACAGAGTGCCACTGGTTGGGAACCTTGGAAGTCATGGCTCAAAACTGAACTCAGTGGCGGACGTATATCTCTGCCTGTTACGGCGATTCCCCTTCTCTCACCAAAGATCAACAAAAAAACACTGAGTGGGAAAATTGACAAAAAATTACTTGTTTTCTTTCCTCTTTTACTCCAATCCTGTTTTCCTATTCCTCCATGGTTCTGATGACAATATCTGTACACAGATTGTGATCTATATATATATATATATATATATATATATATATATATATATATATATATATATATATATATATATATTGCTTATCAGGACAAAAGTAACGCGCAACCAAGGAAAGAATTCATAGCAAACTCGGGATGGGTGGCGGTAAAGGAGACGTGCCGAACGCTGACGCATTGAAAAAGAGCACGACAGAAGCAATGGCACCGATATGATGTGGCCCATACCTCACATGTACGTAGGTTTTCCATGTTGGATTCTAGAGACACGACTTTCTTTTCTAAATCGCTATCGTCTGACGGCACTATAAGCTACTTTAGGTAAGCATTGATTTCTAGAAGGTAGCGAAGAGAGTAGTTTGGATTATTTCCAGAAATTCTTCGCAGCCGCACTAAATCACGGCGAATGTCGCTCATTCCCCGTGACACCACTGAGTTCATAGTGAAGGACAATGAGGTAGAGCCCCTCCACCGGCAAATGGCATGCGCCAAACGGAATGATCGCCAAGTGCTTTTTCGTATGTTTTGTGGATGTCTGAGTGACGAATTTCTTTCAAGATGTAATTCAAATTCTAACTTTCACGTTAAAAATGAATGAAAAATTGGCAAACTGAATGGGAGGAAACACAAGGTAGTGCAGAATGATCCAAGTCAAGACGCAAGGTTATCAGAAATAGCTAGAGAGCTAGGAGCAACAGGAAGACCCGATGCGATTTCTGTGAACAAGCAAAGCAAACCCAGGTGATCATGATATCGATAAAATAGAAACTAACAAACCATTGCTAATGACAATGCGGTCCGTAGAAGGGACGGAACTGTTCCACAGATAGACCTGAGTTGTATCAGGCAGAGGGTTCGTATACAGTGACGAATCCTGCAGAGAAGCGGGAAATCAAATGTGGCTTAATTCAATGAATGTGAGCTTCACAATAGGTCATTAGACATCGTTTCTTCCAAACAGCGACAGGAAGAACGTTTTAAGCAAAATATATGTGAGAATCTTGACGTTCTGTACTGCGCAAGCAGTCAATGTAACGGTGTATGTATCAGTAAAGAAATCAGAAGTGTTTATGATCATAGAAACAGCCCTATAAATACGGAATACATCCATTAGGAATTTATACATGCATTTTTGTAATGGTTTGGTTAAGGTGAAACAAGTGTAGTTCGTACTAACGGTGAATGAACTTTCGTAATTAGTCATAAGCATGTTAAGATTCCGACAAACGAAATATACTCGGTAAGTAAACGAGGCAACTGGTTGACAAACACAAACCAGGCGAACAATCATGTTACCGAAGGAGGCGAAACGAATGAGCAGCATTGAAAAGGTAGGGTGTTCTTCGAACGCCGAAGTACAGTTGCGACATTGCCTGTTTGATGGTTGTGTCAATGACGTAGACACCAAAGTCAGATAGTGATAGTCAATTGATTACTGGTAAGCTGATAACCAGTACACGACGAGGCGCAGGTCGGGCACTCTGAGGACGCCCTTTAAAGGAAAGTCGCCCATCATAGAAAGTAAACAAAAAGGCAGCACAGCAAATCAAAGAGTGCTTCGGGGAGGCGAAGTCGGTAACGACAGGGGTTAACGATCACAATTTTAGGAATAAAAGGCGTGTTTATGTCTTCTCTTTTGTAGCTAATAATGGTGTTTCTTGCCGTGCTCTCGTTAACATCGGCGACTTCAGTAGCTTCGTGCGTGGTTTTGCCGTCGACGAACACAACATTAGTGAGGAGATCTTCGTGTGCTCATGACGTTCGCTTGTACTGTCGCGGCCTCGTCGCTCATTTTGGTCGTTTCATGCAACACATAGCTAGTAAAACTATGGTAGGTTTGGTGTCATCATGATAGCCCAAACTGTTCTCACATTCGTGCAGCTGCATAGGTTCGCCCACACACACACACAAAATACGCGAAGGCATATAGTGTGACAGGAGAAAACTGGGTCACCGGCTTTGATCGAAGTGAGCGGCATCCATGATCAAGAGAAGGGCTTGCCCAATCGCCCACTGCTTACACAGTCCTGTTGCATTCACGTCCTCACAATGTGGTCGGAACATTGTCCAACTCGTCTTACTCCCTGTTCTTTGATAATAAATTGCACCATCATTATCAATACACGTTAGCCGAGGGTGAGAAACATATCCCAACTAACGTGCGGCAATACGAAAATGATAAGAGATTAAACATTACGAAACACTACGAAAGCTAAGAAAGTATAAAAATGCCAATATCACATTATGCATTGGGTTGAGATCGTTGTTGGAGGGGAAGCTCAAGGTGAGAGAAAATGGGACGCACAACACAAACGCTCTTGAGGTCGGCTCCTCGTCATGTCAGGCAGTGTTTCCAACCAAACATGCTCATCGTCCTTCGGACCCCAGCCCGTCAAGCAGAAAACATAAACGGACGCCAAGTTCGAAGTGAGGGACTTCATTCCTCTTGACTAAATCATCACTTGGCCTCCCTTCCTCTTCTTCCATCCAGACCACGGGCGCACAAACAACGTACAATGCAGCAATCAGTGTGCCAGCATGCGAAACGCATGGCCCAGCCATCGGAGTACGGTGTGTGATATAATGGGGCTGATCGGTTCACTCGCTCTTCCTGCACCAAGCATGCGACTCCGAACACACTCACTGTTCAAGGAGTGTTCCCACCAGACATGAGCTACATTTCGAAGGTAGCGATGGTCGAACGTAACTAGTATCTTTATGTCGGTATATCCAATAGGCCAGGTTTCGGAACCATACAGGAGGGTTGAACGGATGACTACATTAAAAACTCTGTAGTTCAGAGCAAGGGTGATGTTGCTCCGGCGCCACAGGTGGCAAAGATTTGCAAAAGTACCTCGAGCTTTCGCTATACGATTCGTGACCTCACGTTCAATCCCACGGGCGGTAAAATAGCTGCTCAGATAGAAATTGGGTGTTGCCCGCCCAAAAGCACTGCACCCCTATGAAGCGTTTCGGTGAAATAACATCGAAACGCGTCATATAAGAGCAGTGTTTTGGGCGGATAACACCCAATTTCTAACTGCAGCAGCCACGGTACTCGTGATCGAGAGACCAAGGTTCACTTCAATGGGAATCGCGGGCAACATTGAGACTGTGCGTCGCAATTCATGCACACAACGTGCACTTCAAAACGACCCACAATAGCTGCCCATATATTTTTCTGGTCGACTTCTAGCTGATCATCGCCAAGAGTCAGCGCATGACTAGATTCCTGCAAATCTTTGGGAAGGACTTTGCATTTCGAGGGAGCAAAGTATAGCTCGAAACGACTGGCAGCCAGAGCTAATTTAATCAGTGCAGCTTGGCACGTTCGGGAACTGTCACATATGAGCGTAATGTCGTCGGCCTACTCTAGGTTAAGAAGTCGGTCACCTGGGAGCAACTCCACACCTTTTAATTCGTGCCTGGTGAACGCTGTTTCCATAACTGTTAATGGCGAAGTTAAAGAGGCAAGATGACAACTGGCAACCTTGTTTCAAACCGTTGGACATATTGAAGAACGGCCAAAGTTTGCCATAAACTATCATTCCGCCTGAACTATACGCGTACAGCGCTCTTACAACCTTTATATATCTTTAGGGCATGTCTTTCCTCATTAGGCCGTCCCGAAGGGCACATCCATCGATCGAATCAAAAGCCCCTTTGGTGTCTAGGAACACGACTACAGTGGGTCGCCAATAAACATGGTGGTGCTCCAACAATTGACGTAAGGTGAAGATTTGGTCAATGCAGCTTCGATTTCGACGAAACCCGACCTGCTGCTCGCGCACCTGGCTTTCACGGATGCCAGTTAGTCTCCTGAAGGACGACAGACGCAAGTAACCGAGACTATTGGAATCAGACTGATTCCTCTATGACTGCCACATTTCGAACGGGAGCGTCTCTTGAAAATTGGGACTATAACGGAGCGGCTCCAGTCTGTTGGGACAGTCTCCTGCTCCCGTAGATTCACTAATAAATAGTCCAAGAGAGCAGCTCCCCCGAATTCGAAGGGGGCTGGATGAAGTCCATCTGCTCCGGATGCCTTATTCAATGTCAGCCGTCTGATCTCACGTTCGATTTCTGCACGCAAGGGCGGATCCAGGGGGTTCGGCCCATGGAGTAGGGCGATCAATGGCCGGTGGAAAACCTCGGCCCAACGCTCCAAGTGCTTTGACAAGCTGTGGATCGGATACCCACTCTCGTCGCATACTGTCTCGCCAACACCAGGTCTCCTGGTTTCGATTCTCGTATTAGACGGAATAACTTCTGATGGTTATCAAGGGCATCGGATGTCTCCATCTAATATGCACGGTGAGACCGCTAAGTAGAGCGGTCTCTCTTCAGGACAAGATGCAGTACCGCTTTGAGATCTTCGCGAGTCTCGAGGTATTCGCTTCTAGCCAGAACACGCCGGCGAGCATCGAGAGGTTCCAGAGACTGCGTAGAGAGCCAATGCCCAGGTTGGTGATTTGATCTGTCATATTGTGGTGGATTAAAGGCAGATACTACTGCGCCGAGTATAAGTAGTGTGGTGGTGCAAGATGACACACCAACAGCGAGCCCTGCCGACTTCCCCAAAGTTGAAGATGACACCAGGATTACAGTTCCATGTGCACGAGGAGTGAACACAGAGGCAAGCACCAGTTGGGGAACACTCCATGGAAATCACGCAGATGAGCGGACGCCTCCAAAGTATGGACGAACACACCTAGTGTAAGCCACTTTAGCAATAAACTAGTTACCGCCTGCCCCTTGGGTTCTAACATTTGGTGCCGTGACCTCGCAGGTCATGAAGATTCCCTGGCCGGAACCATTTGAAGACGGGGATGTGAGGGCGTTTTTGGAGGATTTCGAGGAGGTGGCAGAGGCGGTAGGACTGAAAACGGACCGGGCGAAGATGGCGGCCCTGCGGAGTCTCCTCAAGGGCAGGGCGAAGGCGGTTCTGGAGGCGGCGCGAAGAGGTCCGGTCAAGTTGGAATGGACCGCCGCGAAGGAAGCGTTGCTGTCTGGCCTGGACACGCCAGCGGACCGCCAGGAGGCGATGAGACGGTTCAAGGCGTCGCGGCTTGGTGCTGGGACGGATCGCCTGAGGTCCTATTTGCTGAAGGCGCTTGGCCAATGAAACAGCCCCTACCATGCCAGTGAGTGGTTCTATTCCGCATAGCGAAGACTCAACTTGATTGCCCCGGAGGAGCAACCCCGTTGACCCCCAGGCGTAAATGTTTTGCCCGAATGTCCAACTTCAATGGAAAATGGTATAGAGCTCAGAGCGCCGTTGCGGACGTCTGCCGAAACACACTCGAAGGTCGGCGCAAACAATGTGTGATCAGAGTCAACGCTCGTAGTCCAAATCGAGCGACAGTTCTGTACACATCCTCTCTAGCGGTAAATGATCACGATGTGATCGATTTGCGTTTATGGCTGGTGAGCGCCAAGTAACACTTCTGCGGGTGCTGTGTCGAAAATTAATGCTCGCAAGAAAGGGACAAGCGTCTTCACACAGGTGTAGCAATCGCTCACCGTTATCATTACGGGTGCCTACACCATGTTGGCTGCCCGCATGAACCTCATCAGTGGACAGTTTTCCAAGTTGGGCTTTCAAATCACCAGCCAGCACCCCAGTATCCGTACTTTTTCTGTAACGGAGTAGCGCGTTCAGTTGGTGATAGAATTCATCTTCCAGCAAATCAGCGCTGCAATTTGTGGGCGCGTAGGCCGCAATGACAAACAGGCACCGTTTGTTCCCACGCGACTTCGATGCTTTGAACGCGACAGCCAAGCTGACGGTGCATATCCGGCTGTTCATTGGGATCCAATCGACCAGAGCAGATTCAGCCCGGGGGCTAAGAGCAATGCCCACACCGACTTGCT